GTATCTCACCAACCCATGGCCCTTCGCATAGTGGGGCATCAATCTACTCGGGCCATTCCCGCCAACAACGGGTGGGAGGAAGTTCCTAGTAGTGGCGGTAGATTACTTCACAAAGTGGGTTGAAGCTGAACCTCTCGTAACAATCACAGCTCGAAACGTCCAGAACTTCTTCTAGAAGAACATAGTGTGCCGCTTCGAGCTACCTCGGATATTGATCTCCGACAATGGCAAGCAGTTCGAAGACATCAAGTTCCAAGAATAGTGCCAGGACATGGGGATCCGACAAACTTCACATCGGTCGTGCACCCACAAGAAAATGGTCAGGCAGAAGTCACGAACAGAGCTATTCTCCGCAGACTAAAGGCTAGGCTAGACCGAGCTAAAGGGTTATGGGCGGACGAGCTGCCCAGCGTTCTATGGTCATACCGAACTACAGAGAAAACTGCCAAAGGTGAAACTCCCTTCAAGCTCACATATGGCACGGAGGCAGTCATCCCAGCCGAAATCAAAATCCCCTCACTTCGGTTTGAAGCGTACAACGACAATACCAATAGCGACGAGCTACGTACCAACCTCGACCTGCTCGACGAGGTGAGAGACCTCGAATACATCAGGACCGCAGCGTACCAGCAAAGGGTAGCTTGGTACTACAACGCCARAGTTAAGAAACGAAACTTTCGCGTCGGCGACCTGGTTCTCCGCAAGGTCATGGTACCTGAGCCCGGCGTTGGCAAACTCGGGTCAAACTAGGAAGGACCCTACCGATTAAAGAGAGCACTCGGAGGAGCATATGAGCTCGAGACCCTGGAGGGTAGGCAAATACCCTGAGCTTGGAACATCATCAACCTAAGGCGATATTACCTATAAGTTACCAAACTGGGCGGACCTACAAGACCCAGTATGCCGAGGTAACAAAGACCTCGACACATCAAGACCCAGTCGCCTCTCCGGCATGGGCAAAAAACCTAGGAAAATATCCTAAGGGCTAAAGTGCCGAGCTAAGGATGACCTCGGGACCTCATCAACGCAAACCAAGTGCCAGCGCCAAGGGAGCAGGCAGCACGGGTATGAAACCCGAGATGTATAGCTCGCACCAAGTCAGGCTTACTGAACTGATGTTTCCTTTACCCAGGCGGAGAACAGATCGGGCATATTGCCTTACTATGTTAACCCGCCTCAAGGAACCCCTCGTTTCGGGGACCTAATTCTATGCAGCTCGACGATATAGTCACTTCGGCAAAAGGAGAATAGTTGCACAAACACTTAAGCAGAAAAAGTACTTCATTAACTAATGTTTGCTTTACAGTGTTCAAAAAAGAAAAAAAGAAAAGAAAAATGAGCTCGCAGGCTCGATACATATCACTTCGGGCTCACAGGCCCGGTACACATCACTTCGGAACTGCATCCCCCTTGCCCTCAAAAGGGACTTCGGCAACGCTTGGGGGCTCAACCTCGTCGTCAGAGCCTGGGTCTTCATCAGCCACAGCAGCAATCTTCGGAGTAATACGCGAGGTGGTGATGGCACGAGTATCAAGCTCGGGGTAGGCATGCCTTATCATCCACCGGCTCAATTTGAGGCCCCTCCGGTATGAGCCCACCATCAGGTCGTCGAAGCGCTCCGATGCTATGTAGTCATCGACGGCCTTCACCTTGGTGTCCTCAAGGGCCTGAAAGAAGATCTCGGACTTCTCCTTGATGTCGGCCTTGAGGTATTCCACCTCGTGCTCCAGGCCCCCTTTCGAGGCCGTGAGGTATTTCACGACGAGCCTTAGGGTGTCGTTCTCCCTTCGGAGTCTCTCCAACTCACTCCTCTGAGCCGAAGTCTCGCCCTCAAGACGTTGGACCCGCTCCCGAGCTGATTCCAAAGCCTCTTCGGTAGTTTGCGCCCGCTCCCGAGCTGATTCCAAAGCCTCTTCGGAAGTTTGTGCCTGCTTTAGGTTCCTCTCTGATTGGATAATCAGGGCATGGATGGAGGAGTTTGCCTACCAAACAAGGAGTCAGTTCGGCAAGAAAGTAAAGAATGAAGGAAAAAAGCACAAAGGGAAAACCACGTCAACTTACCACCATAACATAAGACGCAGCTCGTGCGTCGATGTGGTCTGGAGGAAGCTCAGACCACACCGCGACCTTGCTTGGATAAACGGCCTTCTGACTCTTCCGAAGAACACAGCTTGGAGTCAGCACACTGCCAACCCCCTCCTGGCTCCCCAAGCTGGAAAACACTGTTGGAGTTCGAGAAGCCTCTGTAGCTTCAGCTTCCCGAGCCTCTGTGATGCCGGGCTCCACTGCCATTTCGGGGATAGGCCCCGCCGCCTCAGGTTCCCAGGGAGAATCCAGGTTGATGATCGGAGGATGGCTCGGGGCTTCGGACTCCATGGCCCGAGGAGACTCCATGCGAGCACGCTTAGTGACCCGCTTCCTCCTCTTCATTCCAGCAAGTAGGTTGGCACCGCGGGTCTTCTCTTCCTCCATGATACCTGCGAAAAGAGCTCGGCATCAGTACAAAAAA